AGTAAGGATATTGGCCTGTAGTTCCTAACGTCCGCTTTGTTTCCTTTTTTGTAGAGAAGGGTTATTATCCCTTCTGCTGCGTGAGGGCCCAATGGCTGTTCCGTCAGAATCTGATTAAAAACCCGGAGGATGTCTGGTGCCAGCAGGGTCCAAAACTTAAGGTAGAACTCTACTGGCAGGCCATCTGGTCCGGGGCATTTACCTTTGGCCATGCTGTTTAGTGCCGCTGTAAGCTCGGATAGTGTGATTGGACCTTCCAATGAAGCCGATTCAATATCAGTCAGAATGCGTGAGGTTGCATCCCATAGGATGTGTTCGAGGTGTGGCGGGACGATGGGGGAGTCAGGGGGGTTTTCGGAAGTGAGAAGTTGCTCATAAAAGAGTCTGACATACTCGCATAAGGTTACCGAATCTTTTGCAGGTGGCTTGGACGCGTCGTCCGGATGTTCTAGGAGAGTGATCAGGGTGGAATTACGCATGTGGCTGATTGCTGCTGCGGTTTTGTTAGTGAGCTTGTCGGTGTGAAGGATTTTATCTAGTTGTCTGTGCCTTTCCCACAAGTTATGATTTCTTATCTGTGTTTTGCCACTCCTGCATGAGTCTGGCTCTCCTGCGTTGGGCCATGATCTTAGAAAAGAAAGAGTCTGAGGGCTTTTTCTCGAGGGCATCAACTTTCCTTTTCAGTTGAATTTCTTCGTACTTCCTGCTTACCGCCTTAGCCCGGGATATAAGATTGAGTTGATTGGAGAGGAGGGTTAGTCCTTTGTCCAACCAAAGTCCATCGTTCTCAAAGAGTGTGGTATTGGTTCTCCACTCCTCCCACGTCTTCCATACCCAGTCGACCATCCCAGGGTCGTCGAGTACGTGTAGGCTCAAGCGGAACAGACCTTTGCCCCTGGAGGCTTGTAGGCCCATGTTTATCTGGAGTGTGATTGGCTTATGATCCGACAGGGGGTCAGTAATGATGGACGCCCTGTTGGCCAGTTGTAGTACGACATCATTGGTAAGGATGATATCCAGTCTTCTTCGAGTGAGGACCCCATCCTCGGGGAGGGTGGAGGATATCCATGTGAAATCCGAGGCCTCTGGATGTAGCATGCGATATGGGTCGAAGAGGCTGTTATCTAGCATGAAATCATTCAGCGCAGCGGCTTCTCCGGGGTGGGACAAAGGGGTAGTGAAATCGATCCCCGGGTTAAGGACTGTGTTCCAATCCCCTCCTATAACCAGAAATTGAGTGACCGGGATAAAGCCGGAAAGTAATGAGAGAAAGGGACCTTTAAGGGCGTGATCAACGGGTACGTACACTGACATAAAACACCAAGTTTGATTGTTGATTTCTAGGATGACCCAGCACCAATGTCCTAGGGGTCTAACCGGGATTCTTTGATTAGTGGGGCAAGCTTCTTGTGAATCAGAATACTCGTGCCTCCTCTGGTACCTTGGGCTGGGGACCAAACCTGCGGACCACTCCACCATGCAGGCATGGAAGAGAGCTTCTCGTCTGAGAGTTTGGTCTCCTGTAGCATAATGATTGCTATTCTTTCGGAGTGGACCCATAATTTGAGGCGGGCCCGCTTGTGTCTCCTGTTACTGTCAACTGAACCTCTGACGTTCCATGAGGCTACCGAGAGTCTATCGTCCATTAGCAGCGTTCAGCTGCTGCCCGCGATGGATTGGCGCTGGGGATGACCCATTTGGATCAGAGGTGGACATCATGCTCGACACATCCCAAGGGATCTTCATCGATTCGAGGATGTACCTAGAAAAGATAGATCGTTCCTTTGGGATATGGTCATCAAGGTCTGCGATCACGTCCCCTGAAATCCCATCGCCAAGCGAAGGGTAGAACCTTTCTTTCACATTGGTCCTCTTGAACCAGGCTGTGGGGGCCCAGAGAAGTCCCTTGTCCACCACTGCTGGGTCTGTCCCAGGAGCTTGGGCAGCCTCCAAGTACATGCTCAGAATTGGGTGTGTCTTGCCTGTGTGCCCTTTCCTGTAGACCGATGAATAGGGCATGGCCGGGATTGGGCGTACGAAGTACTTCCTGTCCAGTGATTTTCGTGTCGAGAACAGGAAGTCATTTGGGTGCGGGAAGCTGCTGGATGACAAGGAAGGAAGGAAAGTTCGTTCTTGTCATTTTGTTGCAGCAGAATAAGCGTTCCTTGGTTGCATTTCTTGAAGATGAGAGGGGCCAACACATAGGGTGCCTCCTGCTGAGCCGCAGTGGAGACAGGGCCCATGAGAGTTGGCGATTGCAGAGATTGGGGCATTTGTACTTTCTGTGAATTGCCGAGGTTCTCTGCCTGTGCCTGGGTGGCCACTGAGGCAATGTCCATCGCGTTGGGGACACCGGTGCCCTGGTTGTTCCCAGGGTCTAACACCTTCGCTGCGTCGGACAAGGTTGAAGGTGCTTGGGATGAGGAAGTTGTGCCCAAGCCCGTAGTGGAACAGGAGAAACCTGCGGCGAAGCATGCCTCGCCTGGTCCTGCTGCGTTAGCTGCTGTGCTACCTGGAGTGGAGGGCCGTATAGGGCGCCATGCCCATTTGTCCGGTGCAGGTGGTGGTGCGTTCCCACTGGCATTCCGCCTGGTAGCGCCCCAGCCGTACTGCGAGGGCTGGGGGCCCTTCTGCTGTTGGAGCGCGGTTTTGCCTGGGTTCCAAGTGGGTTGCCTCTTCTTACGGGCTGTGGGGCGTGGGCCCTGATCCCTGTGAGTGTACTCTTCCATGCATGTTTCATTTCGGAACGGCCTGCTTGAACTGACTGTGGCAGGTCGGCCTGAGATGAGTACGGTTGCTGGGGGGTTCTCCCTTGTCCGTACCATTCATCAGCTCTGCACTTTTCTATGGTGTGTCCATTCTTGTAACAATTTTCACAGAAAGGGCAGTCATCCGGCTGGTGTCCATGCCGTTTGCACTGTGAACACCAGGGGGTGTTGGAATTGACCAGATCCGCCATCAGGTAATCGGAACCTGTCCATACCTTGAGGCGTGATCTGAATCTTTCCTCCGCACTGGGGTGTAGGTGGTATTTTAGATTACCCAGTTTGGGATCCTCTTTGTCGCTGATGGGAGGGAATTCCTGGAGTACTTTGCCCATTGCTGCCTCTAGACCAGTCCTGATAAACATTGAAGCAGCAATGGGGAAGCGCATGGCCATTACCCAATAGTTGTTCTTTTTGTCCTCTTCTCTTTTCTTCTGCCATTCAGAACGGGGGAGCCAGGGACGAAAAAGAACAAAATGCCATTTGTTTCCCTCCTCGAATTTCATTTTGTGTGTCCTAAGGAAACAATCAACGGAATGGAAAAAAAAAAGGTATTTTTTTTCCCCGGGCCTTTTAATAATTGTTTGTGTGTGTGTGTGTGTGTGTGTGTGTGTGTGTGTGTGTGTGTTTATAACCGTATAGTATGTCATGACACGTTTACCTGTGTCATGCAATTCTCCGATGAAAAATAACCGGCGCACCGTGTACTTCGTAACTGTGCAGGTATAGCATGCCTCAAGCGTGGTAGGACCGACACTTACCGGGGCAAAGGTAGGACAACAAAGCCGAGGGGCAGGTAGGCGATGTACTCTTGGATGAAAAGGCACAGCAGGGCACATAGACTGGAGGGCACACGGGAGAAGCAAGAAACTTGCGACAACACATAGGTTGGAGGGCACGAGGGAGGCGGGAGGGCAGACAACGTGCAAGCACACCAACAGGCAAACCAAAAGAAAGAGGGAAACAAACAAGTCCCAAAAAGATGCCAAGACCAGGCGGACAAGAAAAGCATCAGAGCAAAGCAAGCAAAAAGACATGAAAGTACAGGCTGGAGGGCACGGGGGAGGCGGGAGGGCAGACAACATGCAAGAACACGAAACAGGCACACAAGGACACAAAGGGAGGCAAACCGAAAAAAAATTACAAGTCCCAAGCCAATCGAAAGACCGAAAAAAATAAAAATAAAAATAAAATCTGATGATGACAAGATTGTTTCGTCGGAATTGCACCGACTCATCAGGAGGCTGAACCCTCGACAGTCTGCGGAGTACCGGTTTTGGATGTTTTGGGTCATGAACCCTTTGACCCTTGTTGAAGGCAGATTGCCCACAAGCGGGCTCTGTGGCAGTGTGTCTCGTTCATTCTCTCTCTCTCTCTCTCTCTCTCTCTCTCTCTCTGTATCTCTCTGTGGCCCTCTCATCTCTGCAGCAAACGTGGAACGATGGGCATAGCCACCCTAAAATTTCTCCACGAGATGTGACCGTACTTGTGGTAAGATACATCCAAGAAAAACTTCGTCTTCATTTGCCGGACGCCGCCAGTGCGGGACGATGACCGCTGGCCGATTACCAGGTTACCGTAATAATCAGCTCGTAGCAATACCTCATCATGATGATGATGATGATGATGGCCAAATTTTGCCTTTGTGCCCTTCCCAACCACATCTGGCTTTTTTGGCGAATCCCCGCCATTTTTCTTTTTGACCGATTTCATCCTCAGCTGGTTGTACGGTTGTACGATTTCTTTCTTTCCTTTTTTTTTTTACCGTACGATCCATGTCTCTTCTGTCTGGGGTTGATCTTGATTTGTCTTGGTTGTTCGCATGGCGGGTAAGAGGACTTGTATTCATTTGTGACCCTCTTACTCATGCATAAAATTTCATTTGTGACCCTCTTACCCATGCGTAAAATTTCATTTGTGACCCTCTTACCCATGGGTAAAATTTCTCTTTGGCCACCCTAAAATTTTCTGCAGCAAGCGTGGATCGATGGGCATGTATTCATTTGTGACCCTCTTACTCATGCGTAAAATTTCATTTGTGACCCTCTGACTCATGCGTGAAATTTCATTTGTGACCCTCTTACCCATGCGTAAAATTTTTGTGGCCACCCTGAAATTTTCTGCAGCAAACGTGGATCGATGGGCATGTATTCATTTGTGACCCTCTTACTCATGCGTGAAATTTCAGTTGTGACCCTCTTACTTATGCGTAAAATTTCATTTGTGACCCTCTTACTTATGCGTAAAATTTCATTTGTGTCCCTCTTACTCATGCGTAAAAATTTCACTTGTGACCCTCTTACTCATGCGTAAAATCTCATTTGTGACCCTCTTTTCTGCAGCAAACGTGGATCGATGGGCATAGCCACCCTAAAATTTTTTCCACGAGATGTGACCGTCTGGGGTTGATCTTGATTTGTCTTGGCTGTACGCATGGCGGGAAAAGGGACTTGTATTTATTTGGGGCAAAAAAAAGGGAATGTGTATGTATTTGACCGCATGGTTCGCATCTATTCACTTTCACTTTCGCGGAAGCGTTTTTGAATTGGCTGCCAATCATTCTATTCTATTTTATTTCCCTTTTTTTGTTTCCTAATTTCTCAAAAAACGTCTTTAACATATTTCATCAGGGTGCCGGATCAGTCTTTCACTTTCCCTTGCCCTTGAAACTTACTTTTTTTTTTCTTTTTTTTTTTTACTAGGTTGGCAGGGGGGGAACCTTGCCTTTGAACTGATCTTTCAAAAAAAAAAAAAAAACGAAAA